ATGGGGACGGGGCAGGTGCTGTTCCACCGCTTCTTCTACTCCAAGTCCTTCGTCAAACACAACTTCGAGGTGAGTCGCGGCCGTATGGCCGCCCTTCCCGCTGGGGCGGGGCGCGGGCTGCTGGGGGCTTCCTCCTCAGTCTCAGCTCTGGGGCTCCGGGAGTTGCGGGAGGGCACAATATCCAGGCCCTGCATGCACTTATGGGGACGGGGCAGGTGCTGTTCCACCGCTTCTTCTACTCCAAGTCCTTCGTCAAACACAACTTCGAGGTGAGTCGCGGCCGTATGGCCGCCCTTCCCGCTGGGGCGGGGCGCGGGCTGCTGGGGGCTTCCTCCTCAGTCTCAGCTCTGGGGCTCCGGGAGTTGCGGGAGGGCACAATATCCAGGCCCTGCATGCACTTCCTTAAGGAAGTTATTTCTGCAAAACTACGTTTTTCAGCCTTCAGTGGGTGGTTTCTCTGCCTGATTGTGCAACATGTTCAAGGGGAGGTACAAATCTTCATCTCACAGAACTGGGCTTCTTTTCAGATTGTTGCTATGGCCTGCATCAATCTCGCTTCCAAAATTGAAGAAGCACCTCGCCGTATAAGAGATGTGATAAATGTGTTTCATCATTTGCGGCAGTTAAGAGCAAAAAGGTAAGACTAGCTCCATTTTCAGTATATCCACCCACTAATGTATATCAAATTTTTATCAAGCCAGTTTGACCTTTCAGCTTAGGTCTGACACTCTGAAATTGCGAAGGGAGTGATTATTGGTCAGGACATACACATTAACATTTCTGTAGTTGGTTTCCATCAGTGTGACTTTGATTTGGCAAATGTAGGAATACATGGCTCTGAAAGTGTTTCATATAGCTGTGTTAGTAATGACTCAAAGGTAAAATTTGAGCTTAGTTGAATTGAGAGTTTCTGAAAAGAAGTCTTGGGTATAAATTTGGTTAGGTGGCAGATTGTTTTGGTATTTTCTGTTTTTTAATCCATAAGCATCCTTGGTACAAATTTGTAATGGGGATCTTAGTGACTGGTATCTTGTTAGAATAGTCTCTTTGTACTTAGCTACCACAGACAGTAGTAAAATAGACGGAAGTCTATAAGGAAGTTATAAGTGTAGTGGTATTTGTGGAGAGAAAGCAGTATAATAAAGTGTCAGTGGAAAGTGTGATTTCCACTGTAGTATATGGAACTTGAATGACACATCAGCAAGGAATGTAGGCTTGAATGCTGAAAGATGTGTACCTATAGCTACAGAATCTGAGTGGTACTTTAATGGTACACTGAGATCTTGCAAGTCAGTAAAATTTAAACATTTATTTATCTGATTTGTATGTGGTTCTATAGTGGTTTTGCTTTTAGTTTGTCAAGCTTTTTTTCAGTTGAGTGCTTAATTTTTGGCTAAGTGTTAAAGCAAGGTTGCATATCTAGGTTAAAGAAGGTGCAAGGAATGTGGTTGAAGGAGAGGAATGTGTAATACATTTCACAGTATGGCAATATTTAAATGTGACTTTTAAACAGTAACGAAGACTTTGTAGATGTTTATGAAGCCATTTCAGTTGTATTACATGACTTTTCATTAGTAAATGTATCTAGTGAAAGATAGGCTGTACAGAAAATTAAAGTTCTGAAGGACGTTCTTTTCAAAGAAAACTTTTTTTATTCTGTCTTGCCAGACCAAAGGAGAACTTAAAGAAATAGAATAGGGAAATTAGTTTACTTTATTTTACATATCCAGTACTTAAAATGCACAATATAGCCAGTATATGGTACCTTTTTTTTTCCTTTCATCGGCACATGCCACCTCTAAAGTCAGTTTTTACTTTAATAAAGTTCCATATCTGATTTGAATGGAACGTAGTTTTAAATATAATTATTTCTTGTACGTGTTGGAACTGGAAGAATTCTGTAAAGTTCTATTGAATTTGGATTCCATGGCATAATCTCTTAACTATTTATCATAATTAAAACAAAGAAATCTGCTGATTTGTTTACTAAAACCGGTTCACTTCTTAACGTCTCAGAATTGAACCAGAGACTAAAAGTTAACTGGTGACATAAAATCTCTTCTCTGTGCTTTGAGATTTTTTTTAATATAGAAAAGGCTTGGAGAAATTGAAATTTTACTTATAAAAATTATTTCAGATATTCTTATTTGGAACAGGCTATCATTTACACGTGCTAAGTGATGTCTACAGTGCATCACCACCAAAGACACACATCAGTTATTGACCATTTGTTAATTCACTTATAGAGAAGTGGGTACCTTTGCCTTAAGATTCTGAGAAATGAATCTGCATGAAATTAATGTTAATGTGTAAGTGTGACACTCAGGCTTGCTTTTCTAAAACAAGCTGGATATAAACATTTTCTGTACTTTTTACAAGCTTACTAATACGTAATCTGTACACGTATTAACTTGAGCTCTTTTTTCCCTTGCAACCGACTATACAGCGACCAGCTACATTTACCAAAGCCTGGGTGATGTGGAGTGGTTCATAGAGATGAAGCTGTCGTCATGGCAACAGTGAGTGAAGTATCGAAAATCCCCAAGGAGAAGCCAGTGCTCTGAGAATAGGTCACTGGAATCGGGGGACTAACAGGTTGGCCGCTGGTGAACCATTCGGAAGAACTCCTGTATCTTGTTATAAGCTTTTTTCTTTGCTGTCCAGGTTTTTAGTAATATTAGTTTAATATTTTATTTTAAGCGAACACTTAGGCTGTATTTAGCTTATTCTTTTGCATCTTGACATAAGAATTGAAAGAGTCTAATTTCTGGTAACTTTGCCTGTAAAGTACTTAAACTCAGATTTCTAAAAGCATATTGAAGCAGTAAAAGATTAATTTGTCCTTTAGACATTTGCGTCTTATGATTGAAATGTTACACACAAACTGTTGTTCAGGAATACAAGAGAGGCCTTGACCCACCATAGGTATACTCTTGTACTTAGTTATTTTTAATACCCTTCCGGGCATGTGTTTGCATGACTGGAGGTCAGAACCTTGAATTCTGAAGTCAGAACCCTATACAAACCCTTTGGTCAGTTAAGCTAATTTCTAGGTAGTAGGCTCAGGGCTAAAAGTAGTCTTTTGATAAATGCTTCTGTTGGATTCGCACTGTGACTGTATGCCCTGGAGTATTGTACCTAAAACTTGTGTGTGCTTGAATAAGCCTACATTTGATTATTCGAAGCCTGTTTTTCATATCAGCACACTAAGAAATTTGTTCTGTTGGAATATCTGAAAACACATTTAGCTACATATATTTAGTATGTGGAATATACATTGCAGTTGATGTGGGTTATAGCCATTGGTCTCTGCTAACTTTCTGTATGTAATATAAAATATTATACTATATAACGCTAAAGGTTTTCAGTGCACTGCAAACACCCACTCCTCTGAAACCAGTTGTATAGTTTTATGAACTGATTTAAAGAAGCCACTCTTATTTTCACTATATAAGTGAAATAACTTTATAATGGCTTATTATGCAACTCTTCAAGCCTATAGTGTTTGTTTGTTAATTCTATTCTGTATGATATTCTATTTCTTCTTTCATCACATAAGTGTGAAAATTTCAGGCTTTTTTGAGAGGCCCAAATGGATCATATCTGTAATATTAGGTATTTTTAATATTTAAAAATGTTAGAAATGTAGAGTTTGGGGGTTTTTTTTAATCCTCTGCCTCTCTCAACCATCTAATGGAAATAAAAAAATGTCCTGTTATGTCACTATTAGAGTTGGCTATTCCTATTTGGAGTGGTAGGAGATAAATGAATGGTCAGTAGTGCAATATTTTCTAACGATTTAATGTTACAAAAACATCCTCTTTTTATGGCTTGATTTACTATTTAAAAATTTTATAACAACCTTTAATGTTCGGCTATTGAGGTTATGGCCTAGACTAGTACCATGTTGTGCATACGTACTGCTCCATGCAAACTTGGAAATTGAACTGCAATGATGGTACTGCAAAGTGGACTATTGGTTACAGTGTTCAAGGAGAGTCTCCAAAAGCTGATCTGGGGAGCACTTCTAGGCAGAGTATTGAGCAGAATGAAAATCCTTATGATGGAGGACATTTGCAGACAGAAGCAGTGGCAAGCCTTTTCCTTTCCTTTTACCAGGAGAGGTGCAAAATAAGAGGTTTTAGAACTACCAAACTATTTTCATGAATGATGTAAATTCCTATTCTTCCTATTAGTTTAAAATTTAAGACTTAATTTCTGTCCCCAGTATGGCACAATGACAGTCTTCTATGGAGAACTGATTTTAGATAAATTAGATGAGTCCCAAATTACACATCGAGTTTTCCTTTTCTGTTAATGCTGTCTAGATGATACAAATGCAAAGCTATTCGCTGGAGTTTGAGGATTGTAGTACCTAAAACTAATGTCCCCGATCAGTATGGTGCCTGTCTGGGCAACTAAGTAAAAGTCATGCTTTAATGGCTTGGTCAGCATCCCTTTACCTGTCATTTCAGTGCTGAGGGCCTGCAGCTCAAGTTGGTGTTCTAAGTACTCTCAGCACCTGGGAAAATCACTCTGTATTTGTAGACTATTTAAAAACTCTGCTTTTTAATCTTTCTACTTGTTATAGGTCTGGATAACATAGGTGTCGTTAATTAAGTTTTGTATGTAGCTTGAGAATTAATACAGGCTTTTGCAAGGATGAATGGAATGAAGGAAATAGCTCACACATATCTTTAGTGGGCCTATATAAATATTCTGACTGGGTTCTGATTTTTGTGGACTGAAGGGTTCAGTCAGATGTTTCCGTCACTCATCACAAAATAGTATAATACTAACAGCAAGAGGAGTTGAGTAGGTGTAGCTAAACTAACAGTTTTTACCATGGAACATAGAGGTTTTATTAATACTTTGGGGGTTAGACTCAAATTAACTATATTAATGTTACTACTGTCTCTGAAATGCTCTAACTAGGGTTTAGCTTATTCTTTTTGTAGTCTTAACTAATATAACCAGTTTATTCACACTAAACTATCAGGAGAACTGGCTGAGGACATCTTAACTCATTAGGAGATGCTGAGAATATTGAATCCCTGCTGACCTAATCTTTGCTTAAAGAGGAATTTTCAGTGATTCCCCTCCTAAAAGTAAGAGGAGATATTTTGGTAACTGGGAAGTAATCTTTACAGTATCTGAAGTTTAACAAACTATATGCAGCTTATTCCAGTCATTGTCAAAAGTACATGATGATCTAAAAGATCTGAAAACTGTACAGAATTGAGATACTACTGATCCAGGCTCATTGGCTATTTTCCTCCATCTGCCTATGGCTTGTAAACTATTTATTCTTGCTTAAAACATGGGTGACTATTCTCGAATGCATGTCAGTAGGTGGACTGGAAGGCCCAGGCCAGACACTTTTGAATGGATCCCCAAATCTCTTCATTATCACTATTATTTAATTATGAATATCATTCTTTTATTTTCTCCGTAGTCTGGACCTTGACTAAAACTTGACCAAGAAATTTTGACCTTGACAAAAATAGACAACCCTAGATTGCAAGGAAGATATTATATTGATGAAAGTCAAAGTACTCTGCTTGTCGCAGTTTGAAAGTACACATTTTTAATAGATCGTCTTTGAGATTCTTGAAGTTACCTTACATCAGTAAAATGCAATTGAATGACCAATTTTGAACTGTCATGGAATTAATAATTCACAGTGCTTCCAGGTTATGCAGTTAATCCAAATGCGAATGCCATTCACGTTTGACTCTTGCAGTCTCTTTGGCCCCATCCTGCCAGTGGAGGGAACTACACCATTAATTGCTTCCTTG